GGTGTTGTAGTGAAGTCGAGGTGTGTGGGTTTTATTCTCTTAGTCTAGTCTACGAAAGGGAGTCAAACGTTTAGTCAAAACTTAGTCATTCAATGTTGGTATGAAGGGTACACAATCCCTCCTGCCAATATTATCAGGTCAGCCAGTCAGTGCACTCGGAAAACATAAAACTCAACAAATCCATCAATAACACTGTGGCCTTAAAAGGAAACGTATATTATTGGTGGCATTTTGGCCAATGTACTTTCTAGCACATGGAGAGGCCAGTAGAGAGATCGAGTGGATGATAATAGTTTGAGACAGCTGCACTTGTTTACACAATGGGTGTGATGAATTTTTTTCATGTTTTCTGATGGACAAGTCTTAAGTTGGCATGTGAATAGTTACCTAATAGTGGCTATTGAGTAACAGACAAACCATTCAATGATAAAAAAGTATTAGTAAATAACCTTATTTGTATTAGAAGTTAAATGATAAAACATTGCTGGCACTTTGCATTATGGGTAAAACTGCTGTACGGAGGTCAGTAAAGCCATAAGTAGTCTAATCCCATTCCTGGGCCCAATTCTCAACTATTGACCACACACCCTCTGCATAAGTCACTCGCTGACCAGTAATCACCTTCTTATCAATCATCTATTGTTACTACCGTGGTTACCGTTCCCTTTTTGTCCACCCATTATTGAGTTCTCTAGCAGACTGTCCATTTAATTACATCTGCACTGTGTTCATCCGCAACACTAGAGCTCAAAACAACACACTCGCCCACTCACTCACTAACTCACTCGCTCGCTCACTCACCCTTCGGTCACTCGCCCAACCACCTCCTCGCCACACTGCAGGTCTCTCCACTTCTATTCTTCCCTCGCACTGCTCGATGATGGAATTCACCTCCCATCATCATCGTCGTCTCTTTTCCCAAATTCATAGAATCAGTAACCTTGCTAAATGCAAGAAAATTTGGTAACGCTGAATATTTTACAACGTTGGGCAGTTTTGGGCCGTTGGTCCTGTTGCTCAGCAATTGTGTAAATAACAAACACAAAAACTCCCCTCGTCAGATGTACCAATAATCACTAGTGTTGGTGGTGGACTGTGTGCTCAGGTGAGGCCGCGTGGGTGCATTGTAACGCCACTCACCCATGCCCCGTCGGCCGTGCGTAACAAAAAAGAAACCGAGCGTCTTGCGTTGACTTTCTGCACAATCACGGCGCCGCCGCTGCGGTGATCCGCGTACCGGTTCTGAAGCTAGGACCCCGCTTTATCTGGTAACGTCATCCCTCGCCTTTGATTTAGAGTTTCAATGCTTGCCAATCAAATAAAGCTTATCGGCTCGCGATGTAACGAGCCACAGGCCCCGCGTGTTTAAGGTCAGCGTGTGTTGTTTTGATATGAATGTTTAGGATGCCTTTCTGGGTTACGACAGCACGCTGATGACTTGAGGGTTTTTAGTCTTTTTTGGGGTGGTGGTGGGGAGGGGGTTTCGAAAAGTCGAAGTCTCGGAGCGATTTACTGCCCATGGGAGCATTGAGGCATTGGTACTCATCGCCCTTTTAAAGCCCTGCAGCGCCATTGGTGGACATTCCACGTTCCAATGGTGGGGGGCGAGTTTATCCGTAGGCAAACTGCCGTTGGTTTCGCGAATACGTGGTGCTCGTTTAAATAGACCCCGGAGGGATGATGGTGAAAAGCTGATGGTGGGGGTGGTGGGGGGGGGTGTGGAGGAGGTGATGGGAGACAGGTGATGGAGCAGAGGTATTTGGAGAACGGTGTTGGGAGAGGTGGTGGGAGAGAGGTGATGTGGGGGAGGAGGTGGTGGGAGAGAGGTGATGTGGGGGGGGGGGGTGTTGAGAATGTGATGGGGGAGAGGTATTTGGAAAACGGTGATGGGAGGAGAGATGACCATGGAGAGGTCATGGGGAGTCGGATCCTGCCGGTGAATGCCAGTATTTTGCATACATCTTTCCACTACCGCAGGACCCAATTTGGGTGGATGGGGGGCCGCGTGCCCTTGGGGCAGAGGTGGCTTGGGGGGCGGAAGGGGGGCAGAAGGCAGCCACATCAGAGGATGGGTCGTGTGCCCTTGGGGTCCCTGAATCGTCACTAATTCTGGCCACAGTTACACTGCGCCATCTGATTATCGTGGGGCCCTATGCTGATGCGGCCCAGATTACACATGAAAGACTCACGCACCGACCGCCACATGCCTCTGTGGGGGGGGGGGGACGGGGGGGGTGAGGGAGCAGGGACGGGCGGTAAATTCTGCAGCACGCGAGGAGCTCTTTAAAGTTTCTGACTGATAGGGAGCAACCCTGAATGTGTGGATGATGATGGTGATGATGATGCGAGCCTGTTTGTTGTTACAGATTGTCATATTTTCCTTTCAAAATAACTCGCAATGTGGCATTACGTGTTTGTGTGTGTGCATGTTTGTTGCAGAGACTCCGAGTGTGTGTGTGTGTGGCTCTGTAGTGGGGAGCCGTAGTGTAGTGGTTAGTGCACTGCGCTACGAACCCAGCAACCCGGGTTCGATTCCCGCTCACGGCTAACACCAGTGACAAATATCTGAACCTGTCCTGAGCCTCCCCTAGGTCGACTCGGCCTCAAATGAGTACCTGGTGTGTTGTGTAAACATCGCCACTGGGGAGACAAAGGCGGTCGGGCGGAGTACTGGCCACCTACCCCCTCGTGTACCATTCCGGCCTCCATAGGTGCGTGCTAACAGCACTCGTCCTAACAGTTTGTTAAGGCTATACGGGGGATCTTATTTGTGGGAGGCTCTGTGTGTGTGGGAGGCTGGATGTTGTGGGAGGCTGGATATGTGGGAGACTCTATGTGTGTGTGTGAGTATGGAAGTCTCTGTGTATGTGTGGGAGGCCGTGTCTGTGTGTGTGGATGTATGTATGTGAGAGTGCTTGGGGCTCTGCCCACCCCTGTTGAATCTGTGTGCGGTTTCCATCATCATTAGGGCTACTCTGCTACGCCGCTGGATTGATGCACATGTTTATTCCATGGTCTGTAAATACACAACGTAATTAGCTATTCATAAAGACAAAAACAGACCGAGATCCCCCATATAGCCTTTTAAGACTGCGCTGTTAGCTATGACGGCATGGTACCGGAGGGGGTGGGTGGCCAGCATCGTGTCCCCTCGGCTCTAATATTTACACACTGCACCAAGTACTCATTTCATTCCGACTCGACCTAGGGGAGGCCCAGAACCAGTTCACGCATTGGTCACCGATGTTAGCTGCGTGCGGGTATCGAACTCGGGTCCACCGGGTTCGTAGCACAGCGCGCCAACCGCTACACCGCCGCTGCCCACCACATGGACACACAAACAAGAGCACGCACATTTCCGCACACAAGCGCTCTCTTACAAGCAAAGGGAAAAATAATACAAAGACGCACGCGCGCCCCCCCCCCCTCCTGACATACACGCATCACTCACGCACGCGACGGCTCGCTCACACAATCCCTAGCCCGGGGCTCCCCCCCCCCCCCATCTCTCGCTCTCTCCACACGGCACCGCGATTGCGATCGGTACACAGAGCCAACGCCGGTGCACGGCACGCCGAGCCGAGCCCTCAGATGTAGCCGTCTCGCGTTTCCGATATCGCAGCTCGTGCGAGTAGGCAGGGGTGGCCATGCTGATCCGAGCCACTTAGACAGACAAGGGGGGGGGAGGGAGTGGGGGTCGTGGGGGGAGCGAGCAGATAACAGTAATTGCTGGCGCACGGGGCGGTGGTACATTGCGTGTCGTGAGTGACACGCGCCCTTCAAAGGGTAGCACCGTCGTGATGTTGATGATGATGATGACGGCGGCGGCGGGCGGCGGCTGTGGTGGCGGTGGCCACTGTGGTTGCTGCGGTGGCTGTCGTGCGAAGCTGCCACTCTATCTGATTGCGTGGGGGCGGGCGATGTTTTGTTCCGTGATTGATTGCTGTGGGGGACGACGTGATCAAAGGCGAGAGGCAGACAGGAAATGCCACGCGTGTGTTTTCGTGTGCCCCCCCCCCACACACCCCCCGTCGACTGATTGCGAGGGCACTTGAAGATGTCGTTTGAAATTTGCCTCCGTCACCCAAGTGCCAAGTGCCAGTCACGCTGCGTCGATACTTTTTTTTCTGGGACCCATAGGGGCGGGGACCCGCAGCATTGATTCGACGGCACGGTAAACAGGGGGGGGGGGAGGGGGGGCTAGTGGCAAGTGGAGGGGGTCATCACCTGATGTGGGATGGGGGGGGGGTCACACAACTCCCCCCACCAGTGTGAAAACAAACGATGTCAGACGTGGACACTTGATGCGCGAATTAAAAATTACAAACTCTCCCCAGTTCAATGTGCGACTGTGGTTACAGCGCAGAACAGACGATGATGGAGCATATAACGGCTCGATGCCCGATTGACGAACGTCAAGGAGGAGGTATTGCTCCAGTGATGCATCTCTCCCGCTACTGCTGATGCAATCATCTTGCTGCTCATTATCCGCCTCAATGGAAAAATAACAGCTGTTGTCGTACATTAGCAACAGCCTCGCGAGAGGAGATGTGTGAGACTCCGTGAGTGGAGTGAGAGGAGATCCGTAGCAGGTGTGTGGTTGTGATCGCCGTACCGATTTGCCATTGTATGTTGAACTTCTTTTGCACCGTACCTAGCTAACCGTACTAACGGTAGGTGCGGGGGAAGGACAACAAACTAAACATGACTTCGTTAATGTGCCCTTATGCGTCACCCACAGAACCTGCCTCTGAATTGGGGGGTAATGCTCTTAAGTGGGGGGGGGGGGGGGGGCAGGGGAACCCCAACTTGTTCTATGTCGATTTGCGACTGGTGCAGTGGAGGGCACGTCTGGCAGGGCGAGCCGTGCCCTCTCGCCGATCACCGCTGCAGCCACCGGAGGCGCCGCCACTCATGCATCTGTGTGCGTCTGTGTGCGTCTGTGTGCGTCTGTGTGCGTCTGTGTGCGTCTGTGTGCGTCTGTGTGCGTCGTTGGTCAGGGTCGACAAGGACCGGGACAAGCGCATCTCTGCGGTCGAGCTGCAGGAGTGGATTGTGGAGAAGACGCGTGAGCACCTGCAGCAGGCGCTGGACGAGAACAAGCCACACTTTCGCACGCTCGACCCGGATGGGGACGGTGAGGACCGAACTGCTCACCTTACCGCTCGTCCAACCGCTCGCCCAACCGCTCACCACACACTCAAAACCACACTTGCCGACGCGGGGCGTGGACGGTGCAGAAAGCAACTGGTAATTTGTTGATGTTTACCAGCGAAAGTACACCGATTATATTGTTGCAAGTGGCGATGTTTCCCCATGTGGATTCTCCCAAGTCCGTTATCTGCGAGCGGTTTACGAACAGCGGTCTCCTCTTCCACTGCCTCGGCCGCCGCTGTGCAGCCGCCGTGCAGCTGACGGTGTGGTGGAGCGTTCGTGCACTAGTACAGAACTCGGCCTCCGAGTGATTTTCTGCTCTAAACGAGCAGCGAAGCATCAGTGGTCAACTCCTGTGAATACGGCCCTTAGCCAATTGGTTGGAAATTCCACATTCCTATGGCGGAGGCGAGTCTATCCAAAGGATAACCACTGATGACCTCCCCACAGAGTGGTATTAATTTTGTCGAACCCAGGGAGGATGATGGGGCGAGTCAAACCTCTCCACCCCATCCAAGATTTTAACTCGCAGCCTTGCGATTGCGAGCCGCTCGCTCGGCCACACACCCACAGTATAGACTGGGGGGGGGGCGGGAGGGGTGGCTGCTGGGTCTGAACCGCTTCGTGTGTGCGCCAGGGCTGGTGACGTGGGACGAGTACCGCCTGCGCTACCTCGTCAGCAAGGGCTTCGACGAGAAGGACATCGCCGAGCGCATCCGCGACAAGCAGGAGCTCAAGATCGACGAGGAGAGTGAGTGCTCGCTCGCACACCCTCTCGCTCACCCACCCACCGCGTCTCACGATTGCTTGCTCGTGCGAGCGACTCGCTTTCCTACCCCGCTCGCCCACATACACACTCGCCCCCTCTCACCCGCTGTCCCATTCACTCGCTCGCCCGCACGCCTGTGTGCTCACTGACACGCTCACTCCACCCGCCAGGTATTGACCACTCACGCTCTCACTCAAACGCTCTTCCAAATACCAATTAAATCGCCTATTCACCCACCCGCACGCTTACCCACCCACTCCCCTATCCACTCACCCACCCACCTACCCATCCACTAAACCACCTGCTCACCCGCCCACTCACGCCACATACAGGGTTAACGAGGTGAGCCAGGGATAGGGGCGAGTGGTATGGGTGCCTCGGGGAAGATCTCTGGCTCCCCCTGGTGTCACCAAAGCTACACACTGGGGTGCAAAACGCTCTTAGCCAAACGGAATAATATATACAGGAATACCTTGCACTTTCGTCTGGTTAGGGACCAGAGCATGGACGAATGTCAAAGCAGAGCCTTTATTTAGCTTGCAAATTTATTTTGGCCGGCGAAAAGCGTACATGCAAATAACCACAGTAACTATATAACTCATGCGTGCGAAACCTAAATAAACATAAATAAAAGATAAATGAACATAAGAATAATTAAACGCAACTAAATAAATAAACAAAGTGATACCTTGAAATGTTGTATTCTTGCGCAAGTGGACGATGAATATATTGGTGATAAGTACAGTATTAATAATATATGAATAAACACAAATATAAGAGACGCTCACTGAAAGACTTCTATTCAAAGACTAAGACGAAAAAGACGGCGCGTGGCGCGAACCTCGTGGAAGGTTTGGAATGAAATCGGACGAAAGAGGAGAACCGCGTGGACGAAATTTGAAATGTGGTTAGAATTTAAAACAGCCAAAAGAGCCAAGCGACTAAAGTCAAGTGGACTAAAGTCAAGGTATCGCTCTACTGTGAAAGGTGACGTTTCAGGCAACAGCCCTTCTTAATAGCATATAAAGTAAAAAAAAGCCAATTTTACGAGCCATTGCCCCGAAATGTCACCAATTGTTTAATATTCTGCCTCTTTAAGGCCATAGTGTTTATTAACGTGATTGTGTGTTGTTAATTGTGCTTGTGCACTACTGCCAACGCAGCAATAACCAACAAATTAGTTTAATAACTAAGAGTGTTTGGCTAAATGTGTTGACAGACGAATTTTATATCCACAGACTAAGGCTTGGCAACGAGGCCACAAGCCGCCATCGACTGGAGTGTCACTCAGCTGACAACGTGCAGCCTAAATTAATATTGCTTGGAGGTCAGAGCGCTGAGTTGGCCCAGCTGAGATCCAAGGTTCGAATCCGGATTTCCTCCGCCTGACCACGGTGGCCAGCGAGTCCATGGTCGCAGCCTAGAGACCAGTGACTGAAATCTAGACCCTGCGACTTGAAGAACCACGCGCCTACATATAGACCCATAGACTCGTGTGTAGAACCGTATGACCCACTTAGAGACCCAGAGACTCGCAGAGACAGGCTTATGATTAAACCGGCTTTTCAGGTGGTGTGAGTTAATGGTCTCAGCCCCGGTCACCAGTGACTGCACGAAAAACCGTGCCTTAAGTCGAGTCCTGCACAATTCTGCTAAATCCCAGCTTTGACGATCAAAAATAACAGTCCAAGAGCAAACGAGTGAGAGAACTAGTGAGCGAGCGAGCGATCGAATGAGCAAACGAATGAGTAAATGAGCAAACGGGCGAACGAGTGAATAAGCAAACTAATAAATGAGCGAACACGCGAGCAAACGGGCATATGAGAGGGAACGAGTGAATGAACAAGCGGACGGGTGATTGTGCATTCCTCAGCTGAGGAGCTGATGGACAACTTGAAGGAGCGGTGGAACCAGGCAGACGACGCGCCCCAGGACCAGAAGTTGAACGAGAAGGAGTTCCTCTCGTTCCAGCACCCAGAGCACAGCCGCAGCATGCTGAGCTACATGGTGCAGGAGATCATCCACGACCTGGGTGAGCAAGCCACCCGCCGCAGTATGACCCCACGCTCACCGCGGTGACCCCACGCTCACAGCAGTGTGAGCGCATTTTCTGCATTTGTTGTGTACCGCGCAGTGTAGTGCGATTGCGTAAAACTTACGGCAGCGTGGCTCAATCTATTATCGAACACATTTACAAACGGCGATTGTAAGAATATAAATCGCAAAACCAAAAAATGTCATAACTGTCGAGTTAATTACTCGGCGACTTGCGCAATTGCCGAGTCGGTGGGTCGTATTCGACGTTGGCCTGACGTTCCGCACAACAGACCAGGACAAGGACCAGCGGCTGTCGCTGTCGGAGTTTGCATCGCTACCGCTGGGCACAGTGGAGAACCAGAAGGAGCAGGACATCGACGACGACTGGGTGCGCGAGCGGCGCAAGGAGTTCATCGAAGTCATCGACTCCAACAAGGACGGCTTCATCACACGCAGCGAGCTCGAGGTACCCGTCCCCACGCTCACCGCTACGACCGCTCGCCATCACTTTGCTCGCCAGCATGACGATCACTGCAGTGCTCGCCACCACGATGATCACTACCGCGATCGCCACTACGCTTAGCACGATGCTCACCTTATCACACTGCTGTCTTAGAGCTCACTTGAACACTCAAACACTAATTTTGACGCTTAACCCTAACACCCACGTCTCCCCCCCCCCCCTCTGAGCTGGAGTACACAGACCTGATGACCTGATGAGCAACCACACTTTCACCACGAAACTGTTTAGTTTGTTTTGTATTATACAGTATATATTTTTGTATTTTACCAAGTAAGGCCCACTGAGCTATGTAGCTCTTTTTCAGAAGCAACCTGGCCACAAATGATAGCTCAACGAATTGGCTAGATTGTGTGGACATTTATAGCAGCCAAATACTATAAACGTGTGATGTTGATTCTAAATGTGAAGAGGAAAACCGGAGGAGAAAAATCCACGTCACCACGGGGGAGGGGGGGGGGGGGTAGAGAGGCACACAAACTCTAAATATACAACAGGCGTCAGGGTCGGGATTGAACCAAGGCGAGGTAATTACAATCTCACAAGCGTGGCACCACTCACCCCGTGTCTCTCCTCGCACGTGCAGGAGTACATGGACCCTACCAGCAGTCACAACGCGCTGAGCGAGGCGAAGCAGATGATCTCGGTGGCGGACGAGGACGAGGATGCGCAGCTCAGCCTGGACGAGGTGCTGCGCTACAGCGAGTACTTCACGGGCAGCAAACTCGTCGACTACGCTCGCAACGTGCACGAGGAATTCTAGGGCCGCGGGGGGCGGCACGGGGGTGGCCCACAGGATGGATGCAATTGGGGGTGGCAGGGGGGGGAAGAAGGGATGGAGTGGCGCCAGCAGCGGTGGCAGAGATGGTAATTGATGATAGGTGGTGATGGCGAGGAAGATAAATGCAGTAAGCCTCATGGACTCCACGCACTAGGTGCTCGAGAGATTCTAGAGCAACAGATGAGAGCTGAGAGGGCATTGGGGGCACGAGGGAGTGGAGGGCGGGAGGGTGGCACCTTGGCTTCTTGCCTGTGGGGGTGGTTCTAACGCAATTGGTGGTGATGGTGTTAATGCGAAGTGGGTGGTGATGATGGTGGTGGTATTTTTTTTTATCCATTCTATTGCCACTGTGGTGTGGTTTACCTGGACGGTTTAACCACATGGTGTGTGGTCACCTGTAAATAACTAAACGCTGTGATCCCAACGTCGTGTGTGTGCGCGCGCACGTGTCTCAAAACTGCTTGTCCAGACTATTTACAGTCTGTCTATCTGCACTGTGTGTCTATCCAGACTATTTCAAGACTGCATCTTTGTCGAGCTGTGTGTGTGTCTGTGAATGTTAACTCCCAGAAGAAGGCCCAAGTGCGGTTCCACGTTTTGTCAAATATACAGCACCCCTTCCACGCATCGCAGTTGCACCCATGTGGCACTGGGGTGGCGGTGGGCAGTATGGACTTGGTGTCCAAGTCCCATCTCTTCAGTGTCTTTGTGAGCATCACTCATCAAGAACTCTGCTGGGGATGGATGCTGATTGCGAGGTTCCTGTCTGCTCGCCTAACAATAATAATATTAGAATTTGTGATGCATTCCCTCTCCGAGAGGGAGGGACAGGGCGAAGGTTTGGGAAGCCACAGACAAGAGGGAGTATGGCCACAATCGTAGCCAGTAGTTGCCCAAGCTCTGTGGTCCTATATTGGGGATATTTGGCCAAATCCATGAATCAGTGTTTATTACACGTGGCAAACGGGAGTGTCCACAGAGTCCCCACGCACGCGAGGGGAGGGGCTAACATTCAATCTCCATGCAGATAGAAATTAATCCTAATTGCTGTACTGAGATGGCGACCTCTACGTCGACCGTGACGATGGTCGACAGTCCAGACAAGGACGTGTTTTGCCAAATCGTCCTTTCATTTCAGCTTCTGCATGCGTCAGAGTGCCGGTGTGGGATGAGAATCAGGAGTTTGCCGCGGTTGTGGTTAGCACCACCGGTTTCAGTGTGGTCGGGTCAACAGTCTGCAGTTTGCGTGCAGTGGTGAAGTGTGGGCGTCTTCACCCCCCTCCCCCCTCCCAAGACGTCCAGCTTTAGAGAAACTGTTTAAAGCTCCCAATGGTGGTTGGTGGGGTGGAGAGTGGTGGGGGATGAGGCCCTCCTTGGCAGCATGGGAGCAAGCAATTGCAGGGCTGAACTGTGACCTCGAGCTGTGGGGGAGTGTGGGTGGCCGGGCTGAGCTGTTGCTGCGGCGGCTAGCTCGGTGTTGTGTGTGTACGCGAGTGATGACAGTGGCGTGGAGAGATTGACCTTTTTAAAAGAGATTTACTCGTTTTAAATAAAACTACTGTCGTCGCATTTCGTCGGCTTAATCTTCAGCCACGATAACTATTTATTAACTATCCTGTTCGCGCATCTGCTGCTGCTACGCTTGGGCTCGGAGGTTATGGGGAAGTGTGAATGATTAAGGAAGCATCATGATTGCCGTGCGGTGCGTCCCTCTATAATTTATGTCCGACTTGTGTTGTATTAAATCAAAAATTACGTCCTGCGTCGGTGAGTGTGTGCATGTGTGTATGGTGGGAACGGTGGCGCAGTGCCTAGCATGCTGTGCTACACACCCAACAACACCAACATCGGTTATGGATATCCGAACCGCTACTGGGCCTCCCTTAAGTCGACTCAGCCTTAATGAATTGAGCACCCGGTGCGGTGTGTAAACAGCACTGGGCGTGGCAGCGCTGGCCCACCACCACCTCGCGGCTCGTGCGCCGTGCCGGCCTTCATGGGGGCGGCACTTGTACCGGCGGTCTGTGGGCTACCTGGGAGACCTTGGTCTACGGGCGCGCGGTCCGTCGTCGCGGTGCGTCTCGCTTGTACATTTGCCTCCGTTGAGTACGCCGAGCGGTTTAACGGCATGCGTGACGCTGTCATTGCCGCTTCCGCAACAACCCACGGCCGCCGTGCATTCGGAGTCGTCGTCCTCTCGGTCCCTCGAGGAGCTCCGAATGGCGAGGGGGGGAGGGGCGTGTCCGTGATCAAAACACCACCTTCGCCACCCACACCGTACTGTGGCAGTTTGTCAGAATTTACATAATAAATTTGGTGATGGTATATATATAGACACGCGTGTCTGTGTAAATGCGTTTGTGTGTGTGGGTGAGTAGTGAGTGTGTGAGTGGCGAGTCACAGCTTGGAACGAGAGCAGGTTGCCAGCGCGTCCCTCAGCGCCAGCAGCACTTTGTCCACGTTCTGCTCCGTCGAGTTTGGACCCATGAGCCCGATACGCCACACCTACAAAGACAAAGGTTCTCCCCTGTATAGCCTTCAGACTGTTGGGGCAAGTGCTGCTCACGCGGCATGTTAACCACTGCACTACCGCTCGCCCAGGATGTACAAACCCACAACATAGCCCGTTCGCATGTCCCTACCCCCTTAACGCGTCCCGACCGCCCTTCACGTTTTTACCCCCCATTGACCTGTCCTGCCGTGGGTCCCAGTCCCCCGGCGATCTCGATGCCGTGGCGACTCATGATGAAGTCCACCACCTCCTTCCACGCGTAGCCCGGGGGCACCCGCACCGTGGTGATGGTGGGGAGGCGAGCCTCCTGCCGCCACGTGCAGAGACGCAGGGACACGTGGTGAGACGGAGGAACGCGTGCTTTATAGGAGCGAGGGGGGGGTGAATGTTTAGAGGTGAATGGTGATTGGCGTGGTGAGGGAGTGGTCAACAGGGCGAGCGAGTGGTGAGCGAGTGGTGAGCGAGCTCACCTTCTCCCCGACGAATAGCTGCAGTCCGAGCTCCGCGAGGCCGCGGTGGAGACGCAGAGCGTTCCGCCTGTGCCGCTCCCAGCACCGCTCAAGACCCTGGGGGTGAGTGGTAGGGCGAGGGGTAGGGGGTAAAAATCACTTGGCCTTTGTGCGCTATGCAAAAACACACGAGCAGTTCCTAAAGAATTGCATTGTGTGAGAGTGTACAGGCGTGTGGTTCAGTGAGTGGCTAGCCAAGTGGATAGCTGAGCCGGTAGATGAGTTGCTGAGTGGGTAAGTGAGTGGTTGGGCGAGTGGTTGGGCGAGTGGGTAAGTGTGGCCTCCATTACCTCCTCCACCAGCTCTGCTAGTCCCTCGCGCAGGGCGTACACGGCAGAGATGGGGCCTGTGTGGTGATACCTGAGACACGGGGACACGCAGGTCAGCTGAAATGCGGGGGGGGGGGGGGGTGGGGGGGGTGGGGGTAAGGAGAAATGAAGGTGGGGCAGCGGGGGAGATGTGAAGATGTAGGGAGGTTGACGAGGGGGAGGATGAAGAGGTTGACGCTGAGGTTCATAATGAGCAAGAGGTTGCTGATGAGTGCGAGATTGATGATGAGGTTGTTGAGGAGATTGACGAGGGGGTTTGTGGTTGACGAGGTTGATGAGGAGGTGGTTGACGAGGTTGAGGAGGGGGGGGGGAGTTGTTGAGGTTAATGAGGGGAGTTGATGAGGGAAGTTGATGAGGTTGATGAAGGGGGTTGATGAGGTTGACGATGTTGAGGAGGGGGGTTGAGGAGGGGGTTGACGAGGATGATGAGGGGGGTTGATGAGGTGTCACCTGCGAGGGCCCTCGTCACAGCCCCAGTAGTTGGCCAGACCCTTCATGTCGAAGTAAAAGGAGGGAACCTCAGTCTTCCGCGCCAACAACCGCTCCCTGGGACAACCACAACCACCTCATCACCACCGCAACCCACCACCATCGTGGTGTGGTGCGTTGCATTGCAAGTGTGGTAAGGTGTGTGCGGTGCCGTGTGTCCTCACCACGCTCGTTGGCTGAAGGAGATTGGGGAAGGGCCAGGAGGACACCCCAGGACCTTCTGCGAGCCGGTGTAGAGCACGTCTATCTCTACACAATCACAAAGACCCCCCGTGTAGCCTTCAACACAGCTGTTTGGACGAGTGCTGTTAGCGAGCAGCACCGACGAAGGCCGGCGAGTGGTTGCGGGAAGCACAACGCCCGGCACGCCTTTGTCTCTCCATTCATGAGTTGCACCGTGTACTCATTATAAGGCCCAGGAGAGCCACAGGACTGGTTCACATATCGCTCGCCGTGGATGGCCCACCTGACCCAGGGGAGGAGGCCCCGTGCCGCGAGCACGGCCTACTCCTCTTCGGATGACATCAACGGGATTCCGATACGAATGTCCACCGCTCTGAAACGGACCCGCAGGGCGACTTGTGGTGGACACAGCCACACGCCACCAGCATTCACCAGGGCGGCCGACGGGATTCGACTCGCGACAAAACAGCGGCCCCGCTACCGACTGAGCCACGTCAACCCCACCCCCTCAGTGGGGCCATCCCTCTCCCTCCCCCATGAGACCCCAAATATTTCTATGTTAATAATATTAACATAGAAAATACGTTGAATGTTTTTATTATTCATAATTAAGAGGAAACTTTTTATGGGTCCCACTCCTCCTCCCCCAGGAACTTTCTAGATCCACCTCTGCCACCCCTGACCTCGAATATGACCCCAGCACTGACCCCTAACCCTTGAGCGTTACACTAACCCTGGCGCCAACCCTCAACATCTTCAGGCTGCCGACCTGTAGCCCCTGACAGCCACAGTGACCCCGTGGTGACCCCAACGGTAACCCTGCGGTGACCCCGCAGTGACCCCCGCGGTGACCCCGCGGTGACCCTGCAGTGACCCCGCGGTGACCCCCGCGGTGACCCCCGCCACTCACCCAGCCCGTCCATGTGCAGGGGAGTCCCTCCCAGCGACGCCACGGAGTCGACGACGAGCAGGCAGTCGGACCTGCCAAGGGGAGATGGAGCGCCGGGGCACGGTGAGCAGGACTCTGCGGGGATCGTCGGCGAGGAGCGACGATGCAATCATATCTCGAGTCGATTTCTCTCCTCTACTCATTTTAAGGCTGAGTCGACCTAAGGGAGGCCCCCCCTGGGACTGGTTCACATTTTACAATCGCCGCCGTCGATGGCCTCCCCGCGTTCTTCGACTGACGTCCACGGGATTCTTGATAATGTCCACTGCTTGTGAAGCAACACGCAACTGCGTGCGGTATACGCGTGATGTTTAAACATATATAACATGGTCAATACACAATCCTCTGCCCATGGCACGCACAAAGATGTCAGGCAGTTAAATGTCACCACATGAGCGATGGCAAAGACTTGATTTGTAGACCACTGCCATACCTAGGTGATTAATTTGTGCCCACAACACCTCGCCAACCGCACCTCTGATTAATACGGTTGGCTATGTTCGGTGCGGAAGAAGAACACACACACACACGAACCACGAACCTTTGCAACAAACCGCTGGGGGCCAGGTCAACCCCACACCCGCCGGCGACCGATCTGTGCAGGTGAACCCCCGCACAGTATCCGTGTGTCCGTGGTGTCTTACCAACAACCACTCGTTCCCGACTGGGACAAGGGCGACTCCGCACCTTGGACCGGCTACGTTGTGCGCGTCGCTCTTGCCACACGGCAGACTGAGCGGAGGAAGAAGAAGACGCTGCACATTATTTGCTCATTAGGTGGAGGAGGGCGCTGGGGCTATGAGAGGATCACGTCGTCGGCATGGACGTTGAATGTTAGAACGAGGTTGAGCCGCAACGTTTGTCCGGTGGTCAAGTCCGTGAGTGACCTACGCTGGTTAATTCACTCTCACTGCAAAACCTTTCAACACGCGCCCACAGGTTTCTACAGGAAAGGGGGTGCCAAGGGGGTCTCTCGCGGACTTTTAGGTTCGTGGGGGGTTGAGGTTTGCTTGGGAGATTGGGGGTGGGGGGTCCACCTGTGGCAGAGGGGTCCGATCCCCTCGAGGGGCTGGAGGACCCCCGTGGAGGATTCCCCGTGCGTCACGAAGAGGAGGCGAGGTCGGTGTTCCAGCAGGGCCTGAAGGGGGGGGGGGGGGCACGTGGACACGTGGTTGGGGGACACGAGGGGATAGAAGCGACACGGAGACATGCGGGGTCACTGGGACACGGCGATACACGAGGGGTACACGGACGAAACCAGGGGATGTGTGGATACGTACGAGGGAGAGATGCGGTACACGTGGGCATTGGAGACACAAAGAGAACCCCCATGAGGACACATCAGGGATAAATACGTGCGTACGGGGACACGCAGGGGGATACGGGGAAATGGGAACGCCGACACGCGGGGGACACGCAGGGATACCACGGGGGGGGACACAGGGACCAAGGGGGTATAGGAACACACGAGTGGGTACGGGGGCATGGGGGACACACGGGGAGATACATGGGCGCGGGGGGACGCGGGCGGACACGGGGACACGTGGAGATGATTGAGGCGAGACAGGGTCATGGAGACTTGGGAAAATATGGACATAGAGAGGCATGGGGGACACACGGAGACGGGGGGGGGGAGGGGGTTTAGGGGACACAACGGGACACGAGAGAGCTGAGATGTGTGCGAGGACACGGGGATGCGTGAAGGTGGACTCAAGGGTGGACTCAAGGATGGACTCAAGGATGGACTCAAGGGTGGACTCAATGATGGACTCAAGGGTGGACTCAAGGGTGGACTCAAGGGTGGACTCAAGGGTGGACTCCAGGAGGAGGAGGGGGGGCGGTGTGCCGCGGTGAGGATATCGGTCACCTGCTCGATCTGGGCGATGCTGAATCTCTCTCCCGCGGGGCCCTCCAGCGTCCGCACATCGGCTCCTGCGAGCACCCGACGCATCACCCATCATCACCATCAATATCACCATCGATATCATCATCACGGTCATCAACATTGTAAGCGAAGTCGTCATTACTGTGATGGCGCAGTGATGGTGTTGGGATGGGAATACTGCAGTGATGGTGCCGTGATGGCACAGCGATCGTGCCGGCAAATGGTATAATGATGGTAATATAATGGTAGCGGTGATGTTATAGTGATGGCGCTGTGATGGTGGTGGTTGTGGTGCCGGTGTTACTATCGTGGCACAACGATGGCGTGGTGATGATGGTGGTTTGAACAGTTTATTCAGAATTGCCCTGTGAGCTAAGAAGCTCTTGAATCGGGTTTCATCAACAAAACAGAAAAACTGTAACATTAGAAACACAACGCTTGCAATAGGTCGCATAAAAATTATAAATACAATAAATACAGCAATTAAAAAAGTCCAAAAAGAAACAAAAATTTACAATATTTTACTTAATTATAAATTAAATATTTAACTCAACTGAACATTAAGATTAGAGAAACATATTGCGAAATAGTGCATCTCGAGTGAGGAATAAGATTCGATAAAATATTGCGAAACGAGGAATGGAAACGCCTTTGGTGAAATCGTTTTTCCTGTGCAAACAACAAATTCGAAGTAACACGAGCAACCATAACAATCACCGTGACATTGCACACATTACAACAGCACAGGACTCATATACAGAATAATAATAATACAAAACAAGATTTGTATATCATCTACTTGCTTCAGCAGTGGCAGACTGGCAGGAATGCACTTGAAATAAATGATTTAAGATGATTTAGTGAAGGTGGTGACTGCAAATCAAGTTTCGTGGTGATATTATTCCAGAGACGAGGGGCGTCCACTGTGAATGCCCGTTTACCAAAACCTGTTTTGTACCTAGGAACCTTCAACAAAAAACACGATGAGCTCCTCGGGTTAGGTCTGGCATCCCGTGGTGTCAACAAATCCAACAAATACTCTGCCGAATTGGAACAAAGGGCATTCTGAATAAACAAAGCCTGGTGAATGATTCTGCGATCATGGAGGGATGTTAGGCCAGTCTCTCAGGTATATAGGTCACAATTATGAGTTGCATAAGGGGTATCTAGAGCAAATCTTATAGCTGATTGATATATTGGGCTGAGCTTATTTAGCAATTAATTTGATGCAGACTGATTAACAATGTCACAGTAATCAAATAAAGGCAGTTTAGTAACCCTTATCAACTCAAGACGAAGTTTAGCTGGGAAACAATGTTATGCCTATTAAAAAGCCAGTTTTTAATTTTACTTGAGCCCAAGGTAATTAGTTTTGTCTACCTGTGATGGTGTGGTGATGATGGTGGTGGTGCCTGTGATGATTCTGATGGTGGTGCCTGTGATGGTTGTACTTTCGTAGCACAGCGATGGTGTGGTGATGATGATGCTGATGGTGGTGCCAGTGATGGTGGTGGTGCCGGTGATGGTTGTAATTTCGTGACACAGCGATGGGGTGTTGATGGTGGTGGTTGTGCTCTCGTAGCACAGCGATGGCGTGGTGATGATGGTGGTGATGCGGTGATGATGGTGGTGATGGTTGTACTCTCGTTGCTCAGCCATGGTGCCGGTGATGGTGGTGTGTGGCCCGGTGATGGTGGTACTGTCGTGGCACAGCGATGGCGCGGTTTTGGTGCCCGCCGATGTGCGACGGCGCGGGCGATGTCTCACGCAGGCGGCGGGCGATGGAGGCTGCGCGCTCTCCCCACACGCCGTGGACGCACACCGCCACGCGCTCCCCCTCCTGCACCAGGTTCACGATGGCAGCCTCCATGGCCGCGTGGCCCGTGCCGCTCACGGCCAACGTGACCGCGTTGCGCGTCTGGAATGCGTAGCGCAGCCCCGCGCGCACCTCGTCCATCACCTGGGGGGAGGGCACGGGTGGGGAGACCGTACGTGTGTGTGTGTCTGTCTGTGTGTCTGTTGAACTTCGTTCGCACCGTACGTGACCAACCGTGTTTAATCGGAGGGCACGGGGAAGAAACGGTGAGACACTGGGACACGGAGGAGATACGAAGGGACACGGTGAGACACAGGGACACGGAGGAGATACGGAGGGACACGGTGAGACACGGGGACACGGGGGAGATACGGAGGGACACGGTGAGACACGGGGACACGGGGGAGATACGGAGGGACACGGTGAGACACGGTGAGACACGGGCAACCTCGGGGCGTGGAGACAGGGAAACACGGGGTATGGGATTCCGGAGACAAGGGGACAATTAGGAGACACTGGGAACAAAAGCACGTGGAGACACGGAGACAATGAAGGACCCCACCCTCATCGCCCCTCCCCCCGCCTCACCTGGCAGAACTCTGGGTGGAGGTGTCCCAGCAAGGGCAGGGCGCCGGCAGCGCGGACCCTCGCCGAGGAGTTGGAGGGCCCGGGCCCCAGCAGCAGGCGCGTCGGGACCCGCAGGGGGCTCAGCAGCTCCTGTGGCGGTGACTGGAGGCTCAGAGCTCTGGGGGTCGCAGGACCCCCGATCCCCGGGGTCTTCATCATCGCATCCAGGGAGCGGCGGAGTATGAACCTGTGCATGGGGTCTAGAGAGGGGCTCCCGTGTGCATCTCCTCCTCCTCTCTGTTCCCTCCTCTTCTTTGCTCTCTCCTCCCTTCCTCTTCACTGCCCCCCTCGCCTCCTCTGCTCTCTCCCTCTTCCTCCCCCGTGACCGCTGCTGACGCCGCTGTCTCGCTGCTCGCGGCGGGGGCGCGGTAGCTCTTTGCCTTGACCCGAGAGTGGTCGGTGTGGACTTGTGGGGTTTGTATTGGTGAGGTTGATGGTAATGGTGTGGTTGATGTTGGTGCGGTTGATGGTAATGGTGTGGTTGGTGTTGGTGCGGTTGATGGTAATGGTGTGGTTGGTGTTGGTGCGGTTGATGGTAATGGTGTGGTTGACGTGGATGTGCTTGATGGTAATGGTGTGGTTGGTATTGGTGCGGCTGGTGTTATTGGAGTGGTTGGTGTGGTGATGGTGTTGTTTGAGTGGTCAGTGTGGTAGATATTGTTGTGGCTAGAGTGCTTGGTGCGGTAGATATTGGTGTGGCCAGGATCGGTGTGGTAGTTGCGTGTTGTTTGAGCTGGGTCACTCATTGACGTGGACCTAACGGAGCCAAACTTTGCGCGATGGTGGTGCAGAGGGAGAGGGTCGAGGGGTTGGGAAGCGAGACCCAAACTCAATACTCACTCCACGCCCACCACACACACAAGGCAAAGATCCCCCGTGTAGCCGACACAAGCTGTTGGGATAAGTGCCGTTAACGAGCACGTATGAAAGTCGGCACAGTGGTATGGACTCACGCAAACACATCCACACACACACACGTAAACTCTCACACAGCCAGAGACTGCAAAGACTCACTCATACATACGCACACACAAAGCTCTCACACGTAATCATCACACACACACCCCAAACAAAGGCCCGACCATAGAACTTAACACTGTTGGGGCAAGTGCTGTTAGCGAGCACACGAGGGGATGGGTGGCCAGCACCACGCCCGGCCGCCTTTGTCTCTCTAGCAGCGATGTTTATTACACACCGCACCAGGTACTCATTTGAGGCTGAGTCGACATAGGGGAGGCCCAGCACCGGTTCAGATAATCGTCACTGGTGTTGGACACACAGACACACCCACATACACACAGCCACACACACAGACACACACAAACGCACGCTTTCTCTGATAAAAAAAAAACATTTCCAGATGTTTCAGTCACGAGATTCGTGCAAATTCCACGTGGCTGGTTTTCCACGGCGCACGGTACAAGGGGAGTGGGGGGGAAGGCGCACAACGCACAGCCGTCTTTGTCTCTCCAGTGCTATTTTTAGGAATTCGCCCGTACCGGACAAGATGAGTGCTCAATTTTAAGGCTCAATCGACCTAGGGGAGGCCCGGGACCTGTTCAGAAATTCTTCACCGGCGTTAGTGGCCGTGAGAGGGAATCGAACTGGGGGGAGGGGGAAGGGGGGGTTCGCTGAGTTCGTAGCGCAGCGCATGAACCAGTGGGGGGAGGCGAGTGGGGGGAGTTGGGGGAGGGGAGTGGGCGGTGGGGGCTGGAGAGTGGGGGGAGAGGAAGCGCCACGTGGACGACGCCCCCGCTTCCTCCAATGGGAACCGCTCTCGCAGCCCAACTCCTCTCCCCCCGGTGCCCCCTCCTCATCACCCCACACCCTCATCACCCCACACCCTCATCCATTAACCGCGTTGGCGAGATGTTAACGACCTCGCTAAGTATACAGGAGGTCGTGGGTTCGATCTCGACCCTGACGCCTGCTGCTGTATATTTGGAGTTTGCGTGTCTCTCTCTCTCTCTCCCCCGTGATGGCGTGGATTTTTCTCCGGGTCCTCCGGTTTTCCCTCCGCATTTGGAATCAACATCACCACGCGTTCAGAGTCTTTGGCTGCCGCTATGAATGTCCACGCGATGAGCCGCTTCGTTGAGCTGTCACTTGTGGCCTGGGCGCTCCTGAAAAAAAGCCACATAGCTCAGTGGGGCCCTTACCTGGTAAAATAAAAAAAGTTCATAGTTCAACCCCCTCCTCCGACCTAGTTAATCAGCAGCAGCATCCGTGGTCAATCCACTGCTGGATGACGAAGGCCTCCCCAGGTCGCCGCCGCCGCCGCCTCTCCCGATCCTGCGATGTAAAACGATCCACACGCGGCCCTCCCGCACACCACGCGCCGACTCCGTCGCTCCGTCTCCTGAGCGGGCGACGAGGTCGAGGGAGCCACCAGTTCGGGTCTTTATCTTGGCCGGCCCTCCAGGCCGTGGCGCGTCCTGTGTGGATGCTTTCAGCCGAATGAAACATCGGCAGGATTCGATGTACTTTAGCTATTTTTATTTATTATTTTGTTGATTTATTTTTTTACTTTGCACTCGTGTCGTGTGTTTGTATCGTTTGTTGTTGTAACTTTCTGATCCGCCCCTAACTGGACATCTGTAAAAAGAAAAGAGCTTCATAGCTCATCGGATTCCTCCTCCAGGATAAATACAGATTCTTAGCATTGAACGTTCGTGTACATAGACCATGTTTGTGCTCGGAATAAGGGTCATTACCCGAAACGTCGACGCTATTTCGGTATTAATCCCGCACCCCCCGCCCTCGAAAGCCGTCAATCAGGTGATTGGTGTCACGTGAGTGGTGAGTAGTGAGTGTCAAGTGAGCGGTGTCTGGTGAGTGGTGAGTGTCAGGTGCTTCGTTTCAGGCGAGTGGTGAGTGTCTAGTGAGTGGTGTCAGGTGAGTTGGTGAGTATCAGGTGAGTCTCAAGACTCTTGTGCAGGAGGGTCCTGCTATAATGGCGCGTTTGACCAGGTGGTTATAGGTATGTTCAACTTCTTTCGCACCGTACGTGGCCAACCGTGCTCATCAGAAATGCGCGGGGGAAGGACAACAAACGGAGACATCCCACCTCGCCATCGCTTCCTTCCTTCTGCCAGATCCTGCAAAATATTTCAAGTCCTCCAAGCTCCCCTTTCTCTCTCTCGCTGTCTCACGTGTGGTTCACAGTCTCCCTCGCCCTCGATGACCGAGAGATCAGAATCAGGATTTTAAAAATAATATTTATGTCGACTGCAGGAGAGGGAATCCGATGAGCTATGAAGCGCTTTACTCACAGATGTCCAGTAGGGGCGAGTGACCAGCAGGTTACAACAACAAAAAACGATACGAAAAAAACGATATCAGTTCATTTTCTTGGTTCTTTCGGTAAAGTCACGTAGATAAAAATAAAACAATTAAAATACAAACAATAAAATACCTCAATCTCCGCCTGATGAAGACCGCTTGTGTTGCGATCGAAACGTCGTGGGTTTTTTTGCCTTTATTATTTTCAATTTATTATTTTTTAAAAACTATTTAATATTTATATTGTGGTGTTTTTGCTTTTATTATTTTATTTTTTTTATTTTTAGTTTAAATTTTTTTTTAAAGTCAAAATTTTAACGATAGGAGTGCAAAGTAGAGCAAGTCACTAAACATCCCTGCCGATATGTCAACAGCCAATGCAAGCTTGGGGCAAGGCAGCAAAAACAACAACAGTCCCTGACCACACCAAGACAACAACACAGTAGTTTAACATGAACATTTAACTATCGATACACAGGTGGTAAGGATCAACGTTACAAATCAGCACTAATCTCAGTCACGTGTCACTCACGTACACTGCATCCTGGCGGATCAGCACTATCATAATCAGCATGTTAAGTATCTCGCCTGGTATACACGAGATCGTGGGTTCGATCTTGACGTTTGACGCCTGCTGTATATTTGGAGTTTGCGGTGTCTCTCACGTGCGGCGTCTCTCTCCCCGTGGTTGCGCCGGATTTTTCTCCGGCTGCTATAAATTTTCAGGTGATGATAAGCTATTTGTGGCCAGGTCGCTTCTGACTCAAAGCTGTACATCTTAGTAGGCGTTACCTGGTAAAATAACAAAAATAGTTTGTAGTTCATTTGTGTTTAAGGCCCTCCCGTGAGGACCCCTCGCGTCCACAAGGGGGCGCTGAGTGCTCACCTGGCCTGGCGAGTGGGTGAGTGGTTCAGGTAGAGAGTGGGTGAGCGGTTCAGGTAGATGAGTGGGTGAGCGGGTGAGTCGTTCAGGTAGGTGAGTGGGTGAGCGGTTCAGGTAGATGAGTGGGTGAGCGGGTGAGTGGTTCAGGTAGGTGAGTGGAGCGGGTGAGTGGTTCAGGTAGGTGGGTGAGCGGTTCAGGTAGATGAGTGGGTGAGCGGGTGAGTGGTTCAGGTAGGTGAGTGGAGCGAGTGAGTGGTTCAGGTAGGTGGGTGAGCGGGTGAGTGGTTCAGGTAGGTGAGTGGAGCGGGTGAGTGGTTCAGGTAGGTGAGTGGAGCGGGTGAGTGGTTCAGGTTGGTGAGTGGGTGAGCGGGTGAGTGGTTCAGGTAGGTGAGTGGTTCAGGTTGGTGAGTGGAGCGGGTGGATAGTTGAGCGCGCGGTGGCTTAGAGGGCCTGATCTGGTAAAATAAAATAAACGAGTTTAGTTTACAGTTTGGTCTCCAGTACCAACCTCACGATGAGCAGCAGCAGCGGCGGCGTGCTGTTTGAATGTCACGTGATCGTGTGACTCGCCCTGCCGAGATGTTTAGAGCGGGCAGCTCCTCCAGCAGAGGGCGCAAGGACCGCGTGAACCGCGCTGACAAACAGCGGGATTCTGAACAGGTCTCGCCTCTCCCCCATGTCCTCTATGCACCCCCGTCCCCTATGCCCCCCTATTCCCTCTATCTCCCTGTTTCCTATGACCCCTGTTCCCTTTATCTCCCTGTTCTCTCTCCCCCTGGGTGTGTGTTTTCGTGCACCCCCCCCCTCACCGCGTATCCCCCTTTCCCCTCCTGTCCCCCCCCATCCCCTCGCTGTTATCTCGCGGACCCCGGTGGACTGGCGGCACTCCAGGGTCCCCTCTCACGACCCCGCCCTTCCGGACTCTGCTTTCACAGGAGCGGCTCCTCAAGGCACGGGGGTCGTGTTCCCGGGCCCCCAAGGGCGGGCCCCCTTTCCCACACGCACACAGGTGGCGAGGGAGATCCCTGCGTTCTCAGGGGATAGAGGTAGTGGGGGGATGGTCCCTTTCCTCTCTCTTACGCAAGTGGAGAGATAGAGAGGACAGAGCACCCTTTGAAGGGGATCTCAGCGAGTCTCGGAGAAAATGGGGTTTTGAGGGAAGGGGGTCGTGTGAAAGGGGGCCAAAGTTAAAGGGGTCCCGAGGAAGAGGGTCTCGGTGGAGGAGGTCTTGGGCGAAAGGGGTTCCAGGTGAAGAGGGTGACGTGGTCGGGGATAGTGTGGCAACAGCGTCCGGGGGAAGGAGATCCCAGCAGAAGGGGGTTTCGGGGGAAGAGTGTCCTGAGGTTAGGGGGTCTCGGTGGAAAGGGGTTCTTGAAAGGGGGCCGAGAGTCTGGGATTAAGTGGCGGCTCTGAACTTAAAAGATGTCGCCCAGCGATCCTCCCTCGACTGCCATCGCCAGGCGCGGCGCCGCGCAGTTACAAACATCCCTGTGCGGTCCACCATAGTTCATTTAGTTCATAGTTCATTTATTTGGTATAGCCCTGTGAGCCATTCGGCTCTTGAATTGGGTGCAACCGCAACAAACAAAAAACATGAACAAGAAAACATCTTAAAGTGTTTATGTGACTGTGCAAACAGAAAATACAGGAAAAAAATATCAAAATATTCCTGAAATAGCACCGTACACCAACGCTGTGTGTAGAAATCCCAGTGGGATGCAAGTCAAATAACAACAACAACAACAACCACAAGACAACTAAGATTAAGGCCATCAGTCTAACTCCGTACTACAATAAACAAAAACATGGCCAAAAAAAAACTTTTCGAAATCACCAAAATAAAAGCCATAAATCCAATGTAACAGTGATCATAGGGGCTGTGACCGAATTTTTAACAATAAACTACATAAATAAATTATAACACCAAAATCTAGAGCCATATTTTAG